AAAAAAAACATACTCGTGCGCCACTAATTGCAATTCCATCAACAATACCATTTTGACTATTAAGACGAGCTTTAGCTAATTCTTTTTCAGCAGCATCAGTAACCCATTCAATATTAAATACACAATTATGAACAATATTTTCCTTTCCAATTTTACGTAAAGCTTGTTGAAGAAAATTTCCTAGAAAAACATATATATATATACAGATACATTTAGTCCATCAATTTTGTTTATAAATAGGATAACCATATGGTATGCCTCAAATTGCAAAGAAAGTTATTTATAATACTGTTTATTATTTTCTTTAAAAATTCTATCAATATGTTTACAATAGTATTATTCTATTCAATGCATATCAAAACCCACAACAAAAATATGATCAATTATGTAATCAACAGAGCATACAATATTCGAACTAATCATCTGGTAACGTTGAGTGCATTTAGAAAACAATCTTCTTTATATAAATATTTTAATTTCCTATCAAAAGTAGTTCAGAATCACGATAGAGTCGTTGAAAACAATATAAGAAAATGTTTGAATTAACTTATTTTTAGCCGTAGCAATTATGTTCGAATGAATAGAGATAACAAGTAATTATAAAAATTCCGCATGATTTATGTTCTATAAGTTTTACAGAAAAAAAAGTACCTACGTCATATTGTTGATGTCAGTATAAATATGTTATTTTTTTTATTTACCTGTTGCATCAGTTCCTCGTGATTTAAGCCAATAGCGTAACATTTGTAATGAAGCATTTTCTCCAAATTCATCCATTATTTTTCGTACTTCATCTTCACTTAATTCAAGTTCGGCAGCAAGTGCTGGCCACTCACTTCCAAGCATTCGAGCAATATCAGTTAAACGTATTTCTCCTTTTCGATACATATCATCAGATTTCCAACCTAAAAAAAAGGGCATATATATTTATTTTCTTTCAAATAATTCAAAATATCATACTTTCAGAATGATGATCTCGTTCAACACATTGTAATGCTCGAAGACGTTCTTCACTCTCAAGTAAATCCTAAAAAAGATAAAGAAAATATTTTATATAATAATTATTTCAATTTTCCTATTACTTTATCATAAGCAGGTACAAGAATATTTAAATTACAAATTGTTTGTAATGTTTGCGGATCGATAACAGTTGTTGATGATAATGCTGATGCTTGTCCATTTGTCATTGTAATTGATGTTGTTCGTTGAATTGATGTTAGTTTTCCATTATCTTTTGAAAAAACTAAACGTCCTGATGGTTCTTGTTCTTGATCACGTAAACGAACAACACATGGTAAACGATTTTCTTTAAATGCACGAAATACTAATGTTAATTGTTCATTGGTTTTAATAATTGTTTGTAAATTAGTTGATTGTAAATCAATATAAATTGAATTACCATTAACAACTTCAACTTCTTTTGATTTAGCTATTTCAGTAAAATGTTCTTGCATTTCAAGTGTTTTATTTTCTTTATCATCAGTTATACAAAATATTCGAACTAATGCTTCATTTAAATCATGTCGTTTAGCAAAAACAATAAAACGTGACATATATGGAACTGATGTTGCTTCACGATATATTTCATGAGCTAACTTGAGAATATCGGATACACCTTGAGCATCGATTAACCAAAATCTAATAAAAAAGAAATCGATTAAAATTAAATCTAATGCTTTTTTGTATGTGCGAATCGAACTGTTGGGTGGGCGCCACGCACCCACTAGACAAAACACTGTATAGAAATATTAGACAAACAATATAGACAAATGATGGAATCGGACAATATTATTTTGAGAGTGACATTCATTCATATTTACCTAGCTGAAACAGTTGTTGTAAATGTCGCACAATCATTTGAGAATGTTAATGGTGTATGGCCAGTAATATCATCAAATTGAGCTGCATGTGTACCACCAGTGATACTACATAATAAACGAAGTGTTTGAGAATCACTTGTATAAGCATTTCCATGTTGTTGTTGATATGAATGTTTTCTTGATGATGACGATTTTGTTGGTAATGGTATTGTTATTGTTATTGGTTTATGAAATTTACGACGACGTGGTTCAACTGTAACAACAGGACTAACATGAATACGTGAACCATATGAACGTTGAACTAATTGAGTTGATATTGGTAAAACATGAAGTGATACTCGTATACGTTTTTGTAATGCTTTTTCGGGTATATGTGCTTGAATAGTTGGAATTATTGTTGATGTTAATAAACCACCTTGTTCATCAATAAAACTTGCTTCTTGACGTATACGTGTAATTAAGGCAAAGAAACGAGGAAAATCGTTTGTTATAATACGTGTTATACGATGTGATTGAAGTTCTTCGGCATTTTTTAAATCTTTGAATAGATAACAACAAAAAACAATAGTAATTTCGAAAAAATTAATAAACTTAACATACCTTCTGCATCAACAGAATCGCCAAAAACGTCGCGTAATGCATCATCTGCTACTGAACTTGTATGTTCAGTCCATTTTTCGCCATTATCGCTTCGTAATACAACTATTTCACGTTCATGATTTCGTAATGATGCAAAATGAGGAATTTCAAGAATAACAGGCCTAAAATACATCATAAGAGAAAATATCTTTATCAATAATATATATTTACCCTAGAAATTTACAACCAACAGGTCCAACTTCTAAAACACGTGCAGCTAATGCTTCCGCTTCATTTATCGGTGGTGGTACAGTTAATTTTTCACGTTTAACAAAACGGCATGTAATTCTTGTTGGCATACTAGCACGTTTTGGTGGAATAATAACTCGTACACATGAATGTCGACAACCACGCATTGAACCACCACGTGCATCAACCAAAAAGCTTACCAAAAATCTATATATATACAAATAAATTATATATAAATAAATAAACAAGTTAATTCATCTAGAAAGATTACTAAAAACGTGCAAAACACTTACGATCGACACTGAAAACGTTCCCTAGAAAAATATACACAAAAAAAAAAGTTCAAATCCACTGCACACACAAATAGCAGAAAAACAATCACAAATGCACTTCATTCGTTAGTTTTTTGTTTTCAAATATTAACTTACCCTCCATGTCGTGGTTTTGTAATAATTTCATTATCTGCAATTAGTGATTGTGGTGCTGCTACTGGAGTTGGTTGATCATTTAAATTATCTCGACTTTCAGTCCAATGATCTTTTCCAGCTAACATAGGATATTCTGGTTCTTCCTAGAAAAAAAAATGAAAGAATATATAAATAAAAAGAAATAATGATTTACTTTTATAAACGATGTTTGATTTAATTTATTTTCTTCTGCTTCAGTCATTAAAACACCTTCACGTAAATATTGCATATGGACATTTGAACTTGCATCGCCAAGCATATCTAAATATCATCGAGATGTATATATACATGACTATATAAACAATTCCATATGTATTGTGGTATTAGCATTAATCATGCCCGCGCATAATCGAAAGGGTAAAAAACATTCTAGTGATCTTTTCATGACAAAACAAAAATATAAGGAAAAAATACAGACATACGACTACCTTTAGCCGTTTTAGGATGTAAATTTAAATTGTCAATAACTCTTCCCAATTCAATATATCCAATTTCTGGATAAAGTACGTCAATAGATTCTTCAGCTAGAGAATCTGATTATATTTTTACTTTTTTTCAAATTATTGTTTCAAATTATTTTTATGGATGGAAAAAAAGAAGAAAGATTTACCTGTTTCATCTTCTGAATCAGTTAATGGATGCTCTTCATGTGAAACTTCAGGGGCTTGAATCTACATGAAAAAGAATTAAGAAGAAAATCAATCACTTATGTTTTTTTAATGATTATTTACTTTATAACGTTCTTCAGTTATTAATTCATGTTTACTAGCAATTGTTGTTTCAGTTACAACTTTAAGTTCTTCAACTACTGAAATATAACCAAGACGTTGTGCAATTGATAGAGCTGTCATTCCATGCTAGAATATTAAAAAAACGGTTGATATTTTAAGGAAATTTATTTCAATTATTTACTTTATTGGTTTTATTTGGTGATGCACCATGTTCAAGTAATAATTTAACAATCATAACATGACCTTGTTGAGCCGCTGAATGAAGTGGTGTAAACATAAGCTTTAAAAATCAAATAGAAAAAAAGAATTTTTTTAGAATAATATATAAGTATTCTTTTACATTTGTTTCAATATTAACATTGGCACCAAGTTGTAATAAATAACGAACCATATTGATTTGACCAAAATGACACGCAACATGTAAACTTGTATAACCACTCTATAAAAACGAAAATATTTTATTGTAAATGATTTCATTTCCTTTGTCTAGAGGATGGGCTGGGTGAGAGTTACCCACCCCAAAAAAGAAACCTGAATAAAACACTGCTTTTAATTATTGAAAGCGCATTATCACTCTGATAGAGATTGCATTTCAATTGAGAACGATAAACATTTAGTATCAAATATTTTTTTTCGAATATGAAAAACTATATTTAGGAACAGTAGAGCTATCAGATTATATAATAAAACATGATCATCATCGTCAATAAGTATTAATTATAATTTATTATAGAGCCTTGATGTCAACTATTATTAAAATATGATTCGATATTGATTTGTAATTTTTTGCATATAAATAAATAAGTAAAGAGTAAATAATGAATAGATTTCATATTTGAAGTCTCGGTTTTTTATTTTTGTTTAATCGAATGAAAAATTGTATTTCTCTGAACTTTTTCGTTCGATAATAGATATCAAGGTGAAAAAAAAAACTAATAGAAATATAAATAATGAAAAAAACCCGGATTGTTATATTATTACTATGGTGGTTAGAGAGTAGAAATAATCAATTCTGTCGGTGTTAACTGTAATTTTAGATATGGATGACTATGTTCTAGCGTTTTCAATTAATAAATAATGCATTTGTAACACATATCCCTAAAACTAATTGATTTCTAGCACGCATATATCCAATATTAATTTCATCTAATCAACATAGCCCCATTAATCAAAACGCTTGTCAAGGATCTTCTATCCTAACAATAAACAACATAACAGACGAGATTCTTTTACAATATCATTGCTACATTTATCAAATCATAGTATGTTTCCAAAAAAGAAGTACTCTTTAATCTCATGTCATTCTGACACATATATCATTGCTTTTGTCTATTACTAATAAATTTAATTATAAAAAACCGAATACTATATCTATTCTTTGTTATTTACAACTTTTACTTACAAGTGTTTGTGCATCAATGTCAGCTTGTTTATTAACTAATGCTTCAGCACATTTAACTCGATCTTCTTGTGCACATAGATGTAATGGTGTTAAATGACATTTTGATGCTATATTTGGATCAGCATGATTTGCTAAAAGAAGATAAGTCATATCAGAATGACCATCTTGACAACTTAAATGTAATGGTGTAAAACCACCAGTTGATTGAGCATTTGTATTAGCATTATATTCTAATAACATTTCAGCAATATCAAGAGCATTTTTCTTTGCAGCTATATGTAAAGGTGTATAACCATTACGTGCTGTTACATGTGGACTAGCACCATGTTGTAATAAAAGAAGTGCAACATTACCATGATTATAATGAACAGCACAATGTAATGGTGTTAAATCATTCTAAATAAATAAAAAATTAAAATATCTGATTTTATATTTCTTAAAATACTTTACTTTGCCTTGAATATCTGGTGTTGCTCCTTTTTGTAAAAGAAGATTAGCAACTTTAATATTTCCATATTTACTACAGATATGTAAGGCTGAGAAATTTCTCTGAAAAACAAAAAAAAACATTTATTCATGGAAAAAAGCAAATTGTTTTCGTCTTACTTTTGTAAATAAATTTAAATTTGCTCCATGATCAATTAATAAACTAGCAATTTCTTCATGTCCTTCTTTCGCCGCTATATGTAAACTTGAATAACCATCTTTTGTTTCATTATCAACATAAGCATTTGATTTTAATAATAAATTAACAATTTCAATATTTCCCAAACGTGTTGCAAGATGTAAACATGTTTGTGCTTCTTTAGCTTTAACATCAACTGTTGCACCATAACGAAGTAATGTTTGAACAATATCAATTTGATTATTTCGTGCTGCTAAATGTAATGGTGTTTCACCACGTATTGTTATAGCATCAATATTAGCTCCATGTTGTAATAAATAAACCACAATATCATGACTACCAACAAATGCTGCAACATGTAAACTTGTTAAACCTGATTCAGTTTTAGCTTCAATATCAGCATCATTCGCAATTAATAATTCAACTAATTTTAAACGATTTTTTTTACATGCTATATGTAAACATGAAAAACCATTTAATGCTTTTGCATTAACATCAGCACGACGTTCACATAGAAGTTTAGCAACATTATAATTTCCACAATGAGATGCGACATGTAAAGCAGATAGATAATCCTTTTTTTAAATTAGAAAAGAACTATAAGATAAAACGAAAGAAAAACATAATAATAACTTACGGAGCTAACATCGTCAACTAATGTAGATTTATAATAAAGTAAAATACGTGCTGCATCAACATGATCACCTTGTGCAGCTAAAAATAAATTCTAGATCATGAAAGGAAATGTTTAGTATTTAGATGATATTACCCATATGAAGTGCTGAGAGACCGTTTTTTGTTTTTGCACCAAATGGAGCGCCACTTTCAAGTAATAGATCAACTACTTGATCATGACCAGATCGTGCAGCACAATGAAGTGGTGCTAATAGAATACAACATAAATAAATAATTTTTTTTTTCATAAAAACTTACTAAGACCATCTTTTGTTTTCGAATCAATTTGTGCACCTTTTTCAAGTAATAATTTAACAAGATTATCTTTACCCCATTTCGATGCAACATGTAATGGTGTTATATTTTGCTAGAAAGAAAAATAAACATATATCAAATCAGATTTTCTCACTCTAATATCATCAAGTTAATTGACATACAATTGTCTAGAGGATTAGTTTCAAATACAATAGTAGAAAGTCATTTTTCGAGAATAGTATGATTTAGCACTCATTGTTTTGATTGAAATTGTCAAGTAGAAGTGTCAGCTTCCGATTCCGTTCCTTCGAACTTTTATTAAATTGTCAAAAAAAAAAAGAAATCCAAAATGAAGTATTCTATGGTAATACTCAAAGAAGATTTTATAGATACGTTTAAGCATGCAAAGATACTTATAAAAAAAGAATCTTCTTCTTCTTTATATAAATCCTTTATTTTTACATCTCCTGATTATAATCAGATATCCTGTTGTTTAATTTTTACTTGTTGTCACTAAGCATATACTAAACTTTTAGTACAAAATGTCATCAAGCACTAGACTTTGATTTTGTTGTCATCCTCCTAGAAAATCTAATAATATCTTAGAAAATAGACAGAAAAAAGATGCACTCCAACGCTAATGTATTGAAAAATGCATTCATATTCATTGAAAACAATTTTTCTATTATCATCGTCACTTTTTATATTTTGAATCTACGATAACTATGGGAAATAATAAGATCTAGCAAATTTCATTAGATTCGTTTCATATTCGATTCAATTATCATAAAACTACTAGACAAAAGTATACTTGAATCTCAAGTGCACTTAATATACTTTGAAATCTTTTACTTACACTAGCTGCATAATTGACATCAGCACCACGAGCAATTAATAATTGCGCTACTTCTAAATTACCATAATGAGCAGCGATATGTAATGGAGTAAATCCAGACTAATAATAATAAAGAAAAAAAAAGAAATAAGAATTTATTATCTCATTTTCGTTTATTAAATTTGTTTTTTAATTCATGCAAAATAATCTACTCTGGTTTTTTTTTAAAATAAAATAAATGGTTCTGATAATTGTAACTATTTAAATTAGTAATGGGTTAGTTATATACAGTTACAAAATATATATATATATATACGACTATGCTTACTCTGCCGAGCTGAAAAAAAGATAAAGATAAGATAGAATATAAAATAGAAATTGAGACGAAATATAACAACATAAATCAAAAAAGAAGAAAGTAAGACCGACACCAATGAAACGACAATAATAAAAGAGTGCAAACAAACACCATTTAATTATATATAAACAAACCTTTGTTGTACAATTGACAAATCCTCCTTCCTAATTATCTCCGAATTTTATTCATACAATTCTCAATTTATTTTTTAAATCTATTTTTTACCTTATAATTAAGATCTGGTTGACTATCTCCTTGTAAAAGTAATGCAGCAGCCTTTGTATCATTCTTCTTTGCAGCTATATGTAATGCTGGAAGGCGTACTTTTGAGCCTTTTGAATCATTTTCTAAAAGAATAGCCACTACTTTATCATGACCTTGTTGAAGACTAACAGCCAACGGTGTAAATCCATCCTTTAAAAAATGAAAAAAAAGAACAAATATTTGTTTTGAACAAAAATGATTGAAAAGTTTAATTCCACCTCAGTAGCTAAACTTTGATTAGCGCCATTAGCGAGCAGAAATTTGACGACTTCAAGATGATTTTCCTCTATAAATAATTAAATTATTAATCAATCAAATTCAAAAAAAAGGTAATTCTTACGTGCAGCCATATATAAAGGAGAAAAACCATTTTGTGATTGACAATTGATATTAGCATTATATTTAACTAAAAGTTTAACAACTTCATCTTGACCAGCTAATGCCGCTATATGAAGAGCTGTATTTCCTTTCTATAAATAACAACAAAAATCATTTGTTTTTTAAATTATCTATATATATAATTAAAAGACCTTTGTTGCAGCATTGACATTTGCACCGCGTGAAAGAAGTTCTTGAACTATATTTACATGACCCTCTCTAAATGAAACACAAAAGAAAAATCATTATAATTGATCGAAATCTTTTCATTGAAATTTATTTACTTAGATGCTAAATGTAATGCATTTAATCCATTCTATAAAAAGAAAAACAAAAGAGTAAAATTTCTTTTTGAAATATTTCAAAATGATACATACAGCATTGCTTGTATTTATGTCAATGGAAGAACGAAGGTATTCCAAAACCTTCTCTAGATTTCCTGCTCGTGCTGCACGTAAAAATCCCGAATTTCCATCAGACTAAAATAAACATATCAGGGTTTTTTTAGCTTGTTCGATTATATAATTTATACAAATGAAAGACAGATATCAATTCTATTTTATTATATACACATGTCAATGTCTTCACAGTTACATATGACCTAGATCTCTTGACATCTATATTGATCTGAACTATAAAATAAGTTTTATAACAAAAACATTTGATATATTCGTTCTTATCTTTTATATATTGATTCAATTAGATATATATTCCGCTTAGAACATCAGAAAACTAATGGTAAATTATACGATTTACATATATATTTTATTTACCAAAAGGCAAACATTTGCTATTAATTGATGCAATATGCTCTTTTTTGTTATAAATAGATAAAGCAGTTATAAAATATTACTCACGAAGCTACATCGAATTATATTCGACGAATATCGACCCATAATTTATGTAATCTTCTCGTAGATAAAATTAGAATTTAACTAGCGTCGTCTTTGTAAAATAATAAGAATCAATAAAGACGACACTTAGTTAAAGCAAAGAAGAAACTAGTGTATAGCACCCTTGGTTTCTTCTATGTTAATACACTAAATAAATATTTCCTTCTTCTTCTTTTTTTTTTGCTTATGTATGTGAGAATACCAAATCGAAGAACATTCCCAAAAAAAAGCTAACTAACAATAGGGGAGAGAGAGAGAGACAGAAAAAATATTGTAGAGGAAATAGAACAAGCAATCAATAGTAATATAGTAGTTACTAAATAAACCCATCGAACAATGTTTTCAATCTAATGTGTTTATCATATATACAGATTGATTGACTAACGAGACTAAAGTAAAGGCTAAAAAAATAAGTGTGCTATTAGAAAAAAACTGATATGAAGCCGACGGCTATATTGACTTGTGTACGAAAATAAATAGTGTCTTTCATTGAACTCAGACAGTTTGGCCTTTTGACCGATTGGAAAAAGATGGGCAAAAATATGCGTATATATATATTTTATGAAAATAAAACAAGCCACATACCGCAGTCATATTGTATAAAACAAAATGATTGACATTTGTGATGCTTCTTTTTTTATTTCGTATGTCTCGTGTCTGAACGTAAGAGAGTAGATTAAAATGTACAAATGTATATGTCTCTAGAAGTAAGCAATAGAATGCGAGAGAGAGAGAGAGAAAGAGAGAAAGAAGGAGAAATATTCCTGGCAGCATTGGTCGTGAACGAGTCAGACAGACAGACAAAGAATCGTGAGCGTGTGAACATGACGAGAGCACAAGCTTCATTTTCTTTTTTTGTTGTTGTTGTATTTCTTCATTCGTTCTTTTCTCGTTAGGACGCACTTTTTGTAGTGATGATAGAGCGCAGATTCTCTCTCCCATCATGAAGAAATTGAACTCGAGGCAGATATACCATCTGTTTCGACCAACGGAATATTGGAAAGAGAAAAAGACGAAGAAGAAAAAAAAGAATCTTAAAATTAATGTATGTAACATCTGTGATAGCGAAACATAACAAAAAAAAGGGAACACATATAGCAAATAATCAATTATAAAATAATGATAATCTTAGAAAAAATATTTAATTAATCTATTTTCAACATTGAAAAAAAATCTCTTATTGATGATTTTAAATTAGTTTTCTTTTTGTTCTGTTGCTTAAGAGTTGTTGAAAATCTCAACTGACGTGTTGTTCTGTTTCGTCAAGCAGATATTGAGAAAGAGAAATGTGGCTAGATGCATATACAACGCATGCATGAATAGTGTCAAGGGAAATATCTTTTTCCACATTCTATATGAATAGTAAAGAACTGATGATGACGATGAGGTTTATAGGCCTATATATAATTACTTATATATGTTATTGAGAACAGCACTAGTTTCAAATTCATTAAATAGATCTTGCCAATTTAGAAGAGAGAGCAAAAAAATATTTCTATCAAGTTTCCTTCTTCTTTTTTTTTGTATCCCTCTATATATGTCAATAGTAAGAAATGAAATGATCTGTGAAAATGTCTATGTGTGAACTAAGTATGTAATTAAATGTTAAGAGAGAGAGAAAAAAAATAGACACACATTTGTTCTCATTTCTCACTTGATAGTAATGATTTGGATAGTTGACGTCAGGCAATGGTGGCAGTTTGATACTTGACGGACGAGATATTGACATATCACGATTTTCTCTTGTTAAATTAGTGGACATCTTTTTATGTCAAGCAGTTAGTCAAAACATGACACTAGTCGGTTTTATTATCTTCGAAGAGTAACAAGAGTCTATCTGGCATCAAATACTAGTAAATGCAAAACAAGCAATTCTTCTCTATCGTTCTTTTCTTAGGCTCTACGAATAACGCTGCTTGATGTCTTGCAACGTTGTTGTTAATAATCATCCGTCATCATCTGTTGACACAACCCAAGACGAGTAGCAAACGGCTAGTCGTAGGACGATTCTTATTCTTTCATCATCATCATCATCATCATCTTCTCCTTCGATTCGCATCTTGTCTGTCTAGTTTTTTTTTTCTTCTTTTTTTTTCGGCCTTGCACTTCCCTCTAGGATTAAATATAGAATTGTTCGTTAGCGAGAGCGCAACATAGAATGGTATGACAGCGTCGAACAGTAACTAAAACCAATAAGTTGAAACGGGAACTGAAGTGGGGATAAGAGATGCATGAAGATGATTTTAACAATATACTGTGACGATGAAGAGAGAAACCAATAACGATGTCATTCAGTAGTCGCTTAATTACATTAAAACATCGGTTCGTTTTCTTCTTCTTCTTCTTCTTCTCTGCTCATTCCTGGTAATCGTTGAAGAAAAAAAATGTCAATCGATCAAATGATCAATATTTTTTTTCATGATGAAACAAAATATTAAATACAAATTTTCTGATCTTGTTCCCTAAGGTAGAATCACTTATATATGAGTAGCATGCTTTGAATTCTAACAATAAAGAAAAGAGTTGATGAAGAACAACTCACGTACACGGATGTATGTATGTACGCATTAAATTAGCTATTATAACTTACTGAAGATAATCTTGATTTTGAATGGATCATCTTAACATTGATATTCAAATTTATTAACGAATATGATCAACTATATATATTTATGTATATGCATACATTTAATTAAGTTCAGACAATTTAGTTCTTTGTATATATTTAGTGAAGGTGAAAGATATGATTAGATTGACTGACATATGCATGTATTGAACTATGGTCGTTCTCTTTTTCTATTTCTAAATCAATATTATTGAGTATGCTAACACACACACATTTACCAATTCTTCTTCTTTTTTTTCTTGTTTCTCTATCTATGCTTTTACGAAAGCGAATATGCTTCTGTATTTAATGACATAGCGATCAATAGAATATGATATATCAGCAAATATCTGAGAGAAAGAGAGAAAAAGAGACGATCATATCATAGAACAAGCGAATTATATAGAATTGAATCATGTGGAAAAGGGTAATAAGTATGTTGTTTTTTTTTCTACGCGAATAATAACAGCAGGGGTTATGTATATTAGTACATTCAAGCACTTTATTCAATAGTATCATAATCATATACAATTATTTCATCTTAAGATCTATCATCAATCAATCAAAAAATATACTTAACAAATCAATCTAAACATTGAGAAAAACTAAAACAGGAGAACCTAAATATTTTCATCTAATCTTATTTTATTTTAATTGTATAAAAATGTCAAAATTGACATTGTCATACTTAGTTCTATTCATTTGACAAAATCCAGTTACAACAATTCTCATTTTTTTTTATTGTTTCAGCTAACTTCAAAATAGACGTTTACATTATTTTATTTTAACAATATACAGAAGAAATAAAATTTCTGTAGTATAAATAGATTGAAATAGTTCGTAAAGTACAAGTCCTTTGTTTTTTAATTAATACAAAACGAAAACATAATCTCTTAATATTCTAAAGTCCAATATTTGTTTTAATTTTCATCAAATATATCTCCTATATATATATAAATTCGAATACTTTTATATTTTCTATTACTTATTGGTAATCTTAGAAACAAGAATGTTTAAACTTCTCGTTGTTTTATCATTCATTGCTGTCATTCAAGGTCAACTTGATGGTGGTTTTCCAAGTCTCGGTGGTTATTCAGATCATCCTGAACTTATTGAAGACGTATCTACACGTGCTTTGGTTCGATTAGCAGTTAGCGATTTAAAAACTAACCAAAATCTCATTGTAATACCAGTTAAAATTCTTAGTGTTCAAACTCAATCTATGTATGGAGTAACCTTTAAGATTGGTTTCACGGCTCGCTCAACTTCAGCTCCTAATGGTCTTACATGCACCGCTCTGGTTCATAGCGGTCTCGGAGATGTTGAAACAGTCCTCTCAGTTGATTGTGCTTAAACAAAATTCTAAAAACTTATTAATAAAATAAATTTGAAAAATCACATCTAATCATAAACTCTAAAAGAGACATTCATATTATTTTATTTTAACAATATACAGAACAAATGCAATTTTTGTACTATAAATAAATTGAAATAGTTCGTAAAATATAAGTCTTTCAGTTTTTAATTAGCAGAAAACAAAACCATAATCTCTTAATACTCTAAAGCCCACTATTTGTTTTAATTTTTATCAAATATATCTCATACCTACATAAAATCAAATATTTCTATATTTTCTATTACTTATTCATAAACTTGAAAACAAGAATGTTTAAACTTCTCGTTGTTTTATCATTGATTGCTGTCATTCAATGTCAAATACCTGGTGGTTATGGAGATAGACCTGAACTGGTAGAAGACGTATCTACACGTGCTATGATTCGATTAGCAGTTCTCGATTTAAAAAGTAAAAATATCATTATAACACCAACTACAGTTGTCAGTGTCCAAAGTCAATCTATGGTGGGGACAAATTTTAAGATTGTTTTCACAGCTCGCTCAGCTTCTGCTCCTGATGGTCTTACATGCACTACTATTGTTTATGAACACTGGAGTCTTACTCAATCAGTTACCTCAGTTGATTGTGTTTAAAGAAATCAAAAAATTCATTAATAAAATAAATTTGTGACATCACATCTATTCCATACTACTATTCTTTTTATTCCTTCATATAATTTCAAGAGAGACATTTGGATTATTTTATTTTAACAATATACAGAAGAAAATCAAGCGAAAAAATAAAATTTCTGTGTTATAAATAGATTAAAATGCTTCGTAATAGAAATATAAGTCATTTTATTTCAATTAGGACAAAACAACAAGAAAAACTTTTAACACCCTGCAATTTCACATGTGTTTTAATTCTCATGAAATACATCTCCTATCATCTATATAAAATCGAATACTTTTATAATTTTTTATTACTTCAAATCCTTATTCATAAGCTTGAAAACAAGAATGTTTAAACTTCTCGTCGTATTAGCATTGGTTGCTGCCATTCAAGGCCAACTTCCTGGTGGTTTCACAAATCGTCCTGAACTCGTTGATCAAGAATCTACAGGTGCTTTGGTTCGATTAGCAGTTCAAGAATTAAAAGATCAACAAAATCTTTTTGTATCACCAGTTAAAGTTCTCACTGTCGGCACTCAAGTTGTCGCCGGAATGAACTATCATATTGTTTTCACAGCTCGCTCATTTTCAACAGCTGGTGTTCTTACATGCACAGCTCGAGTTTATCAACACTTCACTGGTGTTCAAACAGTTTCCTCAGTTGCTTGTGATTCAAAATTCTAAAAATTTATTAATAAAATAAATTTGTGACATCACATCTATTCTTTTTTTCTCTTCATGTAACTTCAAAAGAGATATTTATGTTATTTTATTTTAACAATATTTAGAAGAAACTGAAGTGAAGAAACAGTCTCTATAAAATAAATCCTTTCATTTTCTATCAGTAGAAAACAAAAAGAAAATATCTTAATACTATAAAGCCCAATATTTATTTTAATTTTCATCAAATATATATTCTATCTGTATAAAATCAAATAATTTTATATTTTCTATTACTTAAAATCCTTATCCCGACACTTGAAAACAAAAATGTTTAAACTTCTCGTCGTATTCGCATTGGTTGCTGCCATTCAAGGCCAACTTCCTGGTGGTTTAACAAATCGTCCTGAACTCGTTGATCAAGAATCTACACGTGCTATGGTTCGATTAGCAGTTATCGATTTAAAAAATAAAGAAAATCTTCTTGTATCGCAAGGTAAAGTTCTCAGTGTGGAAACTCAATCGGTTTCTGGAAGAATCTTTCGAATTGTTTTTCAAGCTCGCTCAATTTTAACTGCTGCTGTTCTTATATGCAGAACTGAAATTCATCAAAACATCAATGGTATTCAATCAGTTTTGTCAGTTGAGTGTGATCCAAAAATCTAAAAATTCTATTCCATAATACTGTTCTTTTCTTCTCTTCATCTAACTTCAAAAGAGACATTTATATTACTTTATTTTAACAATAAACAGAAGAAACAAAGTTTCTGTAATATAAATCCTTTAATTTTCAATTTAGACAAAACAAAACATCTGAGTACTCTAAAGTCGAATATTTATTTTGATTTCCATAAAATATATCTTAGATCTATATAAATTCAGATCATTCTGACCTTATTGAAGAAGCAAATATGCGTTCTATGATTTGATCTAAGCTAGCGATTTAAAAAGTAAAAATATCATTGTAACACCAGTTGAAGCTCTCAGTATCGCAACTAGATTTGTTTCTGGCATAAACTATAGAGTGGTTTTCGCAGTTTGCTCAACTTTAGCTCCTAATGGTGTTAGATACGTAGCCATAATTTATCAAAAACTCAATGACGCTTCATCAATTACCACAGTTAAGTGTGTTTCAGAAAACTCTAAAAAAATTATTAATAAAATAAATTTGCAATATCACACCTACTCATACTTCTTTTCTTCATCTGATGTCAAAAGAGACATTTATATTATTTTATTTTAACAATATACTGGAGGAGATCAAGCGAAGAAATAAAATTTCTATGATATAAATAGATTGAAAATAAAGTCCTTTAGCATTCAATTAGTACAAAACAACAAGAGCCTATCTTTACGTTCTAAAGTGCAAACATGTGTTTTAATTCACATGAAATATATTTCATATCTATATAAAATCAAATATTTTTATGTTTTCTATTACTTCAAATCCTTATCCCGACACTTGAAAACAAAAATGTTTAAACTTCTCGTTGTTTTATCATTGATTGCTGCCATTCAAGGCCAAATTGCTGGTGGATTCACAGATCGTCCTGATCTTCTTGAACAATCATCTACACGTTCTATGATTCGATTAGCAGTTAACGATTTACAAGCTAAACAAAATCTTCTTGTATCACCGGTTAAAGTACTCAGTGTCGCAACTCAAGTTGTAAATGGAATCAACTATCGAATTGTTTTCACAGCTCGCTCAATGGGATCTGATAGTGTTCTTACATGCACAAGCAAAGTATATCAACAATTCACTGGTGTTCAATCAGTTTCCTCAGTTAATTGTGCTTAAAAACAAAAACTGTTAAAATTTATTAATAAAAAAATAAATTTGTAAGATCACATCTATTCATAGCAATATTATAACCTTGAAAACAATAACTAAAAACATGCTTGTGCCCATAGGAATAAATCTTCTAGACTCAGTCATCTGCTTCAATTCTCATGACATATATGCCTTACAGTTTTCTTTACATATCAGATTTTCTTTTTCCAAATAGAAAATAATTAAACTTGCTATTACTCCCATGACTGTCACGATGATTTTAGTTATTAATGATAAGCTATGTGATGACATATATAATTATATAGATTTCATTGTCAATGATAATAGATGGTTTTAAATAGAAATAAATATTTCTATAATATTAAATAAATTAAAGGATTCTAGAACAACGTTAATTAACAATCACATTATCTATACATATCAATTAAATAAACTACGAACGTATATAAATCTGTTTTCTTTTTCTGTGTATATCATTAAGATATCCGTTTTAACCTCGAGTAAAATATGTTAAAATCGATAGACAATCATCAGATAAATGAATAATAAAGAAGAAGAAAAAGGAGAAAAAAATAATTTTTTTCTTTACCATTAAATTATTAGTTGTGGTTGATCGAACCGTAGAATCTTCCTGTTCGTCTATGTTTAGTACCATACTCAATATTGGATGTTAGATAAGCGAGCTACAAAAGCAGATGAAATGGCGTATAGTTGCCTTTTTCTCTCCCTCTCTCTCTCTCTCTAGTCGATGTTAATGCTTTGTTTCCACTTTTCTAATATTATAGAAAAACTCTTATTCGCAATGGATTGACTGTCTTTCTTTTCCTTTTTCCTTTTTCCTGTATTCTCGTCATATATTGAACAGAACGCTCGGTCTAGCATTCAATCCATAATTCATCTACAACATAAAAGAACACAACAAAATGCAATGACAAATACAACAAAAAAAAGACTAACTAAACCTTCTTTTTAGCTTATATTCTGATCATTGTTATATAATTTCTTTTTCTCTCCTTCTTCTTCTTTATTTAACAAGATTTAATAGGAAACAAAAAGGAAGCGAAAGAACAGAAAAATTCTTACCGTTGTTGTTTGCTGTATTGCTGATGATGAATAATTTGATGTATAATAAATCGGACTAGTTCCGGGACCATGATCAATATATGTCGGACTTGATAACATCTAGAACGAAGTTAACAAAACAAAAATGGGACTATTTTTGTTTTTATAATAAACGGAAAACTACTGTTTTATTGTTGTTTAACGAAAAGAAAAAAAAAAGAAACACTGTGAAATCACTGCAGTGAGCACACAAAAGAAAATTAGCCTAAGAAAGATCTTTTTAACGTTCTTCTTCCGCACGCCATTCAACTTTTTTACGATGACTTTCAAGTGAATCACGTAATTTTTTATCTATCATTTCCTCTGTTAATGTTCCATCTTCCGAAGCATAAGCAGATGCCTAAAAAAGAAGAAAGAAAATGAAAAGAATAGATTAGTCGCAAAAATGAAATCAACTAACTTGACAAGCGGCAAGTAATTTAGCTATTTCACGACCAGAAAATCCATCAGTACGTTGAGCTAACTCTTCACATTTCTTTTCAAAATCAAATGCACCGATTTTAATTGGACTAAAACAAAATATATGAAATTATTTCATCTGATTAATTTATCTATTTATTTATTTACCGACGACGTTCAGCGGATTTCAAAATATATGTATCAAAATACAGATAAGTCATTCGACGACGTTCAGCTAGAGTCGGTAAACTAAATTGTACCATCTCATCAAGCCGATCATTAACGGCCCAATCAAACTGTTCGGGTTCATTACTTGCAAGTACTAGCATAAAACTAGAGAAGAAAAAAGGAAATATATTCACATTTATCATCATAATTGTTAGAATGAAAGAAAGAAATCTTTCATTATACATTTGAAAAATGATCAGAGATAGAACTAATATTATTGTATGGAAGGAAAAAAAACAATCATTTCGTGATACACTGATATATATATATATATATTATTCTTTCCTCTCTCCTTTGAACTTACCGATTTGACTGTTCACCAGTTCGATAAAGAAATGCATTCAATGCTGCACGCATATCTTCCCCGATTTTTTCCTAATAAATCAAATCAAATCAAATAGTTGAGAAAAAAAAGGAGAAAAAAAAACTATATCATATTTACAGTTGCTCGTTTTCTTAAAAATGCATCCGCTTCATCAATAAATAACAAAAGACCACGACCACTTGTTTGCGACCAATCAAATACTTTATGTATAGCAGTAACTGCATCACGGCCTAATGGTGCTACATCACCACCAGTCATTATAGCATAATCGAGACCTGAATGTGCAGCTAATTTCTACGAATAAAATTTAACATCTTTCTTATCCAATTATTTTATTTAATCAAATCATTACCTTAGCAAATAGAGTTTTACCTAAAAAAAAGGAGAATGATTTTTTTATTTATTTAAAAAAGAAAAGTTTTTTTTCTTCCTTACCCGTGCCCGGAGGACCATGCATAAGTAAATTTCTAAATAAACCATGATTTCTTTTTGTAAATCGTGTTGAAATAGCTATTTCACGTAAACGTGATTCAAGTACTGGATCAAGTACAACACCTTGCAATGAATCTTCTGCTTTGGAAAAAAAAACACGTCGTATTGTTTTCACCGGTGAACGAAATGCAGTAAGTACTGTATTTCGTGATGTTTCTCGAATTAATGATGGTTTACCAAGACGTGAATCAAGATATTTAACTGCTGTTTGTGTAGCACCGCGAGCAGAATAAACACCAAGAGCAAGTAAAGTAATACCGCCAGTCTATAATGTAATTAATTCTATTCTTTCTTTTGTTAAAAAAATCTTGCTTGATATAATTTTTTAAACAAAAATTATTATGAAAAGAGGATTAAAGCATTTCCCTTTCGAAAAACTAATTGTGCACAGGCTAAGTCGCTAATTATTGATAAAGAAAAAGGATTAGTATGTTATACACCACTCTATTATTCACAAAAGCATATCAATGAGACTGGAAACATAAATATACTTTTTTTTTTTTTAGAATTCTATTATAATGGCAGGCAGGTTATATTTGGTTAACCTTTCATATGACATATGTCGGAGTCTAACGAATCCGTTCTAATACAGCTAATTATTTTCCCTAGACAACTGATTAGTTTTCGAATGTGAAGTATTTCAAGGTTTATATATATATCATATTTTGTTGAGTAATTAATTTGAAAGAGTATCAGTATACTCAAAAGTATCATTTATCTTAGTTGAGTTCAGTTTCATAAACAACTCTGATATATGTTTCGGAAACGTGTTTAATAAATTTTTAAGTGATCATTATGAGTTAATCGAAGAGAAAAAAAGCAATTAGTTTATTTTAACGGCGGGAAAATGATTTCTATATTTACTTACAGCCATGAGAACTTTACTTGGATTTTCAAGTAAAGTTGTTATACCACTTCCAACAACCGTACCAGCTGTTTTAATACTTTCAAGAACAGTTTTACGTTGTTCTTCCGCTTTAAGTTTAATTTGTTCTAAATAAATTTCACGATTTTCACGTTCAACTTGTGCTTTGCCTTTTAATTCAGCTTCAAGTCGTTTCATTTCATATTGATGACGAACTTGTTCAGCGTATTCAATTGAACCTAAATATAGCTCATTTATAAAAAAAAATGAAAAGAAATTTGAAAGAACTAACGTTGTTTCATTTCTTCTTGTTTTCGTACTGATTCTTCTTGACGACGACGTTCTTCATCTTGTAATCGAGCCTAATGATAAAACAATTGTTAGCATTATTTAATGTCTATACGTATATATATGTATTACCTGTTCAGCAGCTTGATCTTGCATACGTTTACGTGCTAATTGATCTTGAAATTTTGCTCGCTAAGAAAACAATAGAGATTAGAATGAGAAAATGATTGATTGATAAATAATACTTCATTTTGGTGATGAGTTTCATCATTCATCATTCGTCTTTTTTCTTCATTTAATTGTTGTTGATGTTTAAAACGAATTTCTTCTTCATGTTGTGAATATTCCTATTTCAAAAAAGAAATGATTTATGAAGTCGGTTCATTATTAAAATAGAAGTACCTTCATTTGTTTTTGAATTTCAAGTTGTTTAGTTTGTTCTTGCATTTTAACAACATCAAATGCTTGACTTGCATATTCTGAAGAAAAATATTAAAACGAATCAAATATATTTTATCTGTATTTACGTGATCGTTCGAGTTCTTTAGCTGCTTGTGCGGCACGTTCAAGAGCAGTTGAATCAAATTTATAGATAGATTCACGTCCAGCGAATTGTTTCGAGTCAGAATTATTTGATAATGGTTTATCATTTCCACTATTACCAGATGATCCATCTCCGCTACTACCAGAATTTTGATTTGGTAGATCAAGCACCGGTTTTTTATACCCAAAAATCCACGACATCTGAAAAATTCAATTGAAAAAATGTACCTACGAACACGAAAATTAGCTGATGTAATGTTTAATTCGATGTGAAAATTTCTATTTTTTTTTGACTAATATGAAGATGATAGGATTAATGAATCATTATAGAGATGATACTCATTAATGTTCCTCGATTTCGATTGTATGCCTGGAATATTGAACAAAGAAGTTGAAAAATGTTTTCATACTGGCGAATAAGGAACGAATAATGATAAAAGGTTAAGTCCTCTAAAGGTGTCGCTTACTCAACATAAACATTGATTTTAATTCTATTATTCATTAAATAAAAAAATTATGTAAGATAGAAATAGAATTTTTGAAAATAAATTTTGAAAAAAAAATTTATTCAATATAAAGTTTCTTTATCAGATCGTATGGCTATTCAAACAAAAGTAACTTAATTCTATTGGTTGATTTTTTATTACGAAGAATAAGCAGTAGTCGACGACGAAAGACTTTCTATCTATTCGAGATCGAGAAGATAGAATATTTGATATTTAGTTTATAAAAATGCCAACAAAACTTTATGTTGGTAATATACCTGAATTAATAAGTTCAACTGAATTGAAAGAATTATTTGAAAAATATGGCAAAGTATTAGAATGTGACATTATTAAAGATTATGCTTTTGTTGTAAGAATTTTTTTGTAATAATAAATCATTTATACGATTAATTTTTTTTTTCTTTGTAGCATATGGAAGATGCAAGTAAAGCAAAAGCATCTATAGCTGCTTTAAATGATTTTAGTTTAAAAGGAAATCGTATTAGAGTTGAAGTAAATATTTAATTGTCAAGTTATATTATTTAATTTATATTTACTTATTAGATGTCAACAACACAGCTACGAAATTCAGGTCGTTCATCGTAAGTTATTGTAATTTTATTTTAATTCAGATATTTTATATGTTGGATATAGTCGTCGTGGAGATTCACCACGTCGTCAATCAAGTTCTATGTCGATGCGTTCGTCTCGGTTTGTTTAATATTTTATTTAATAAAATATATTGATATGTTTCTATATTCTATTAGTCGAGAATATCCAATGATGTCGTCTAGTCGAAGTGGCGGTTATTCTGGTGGAGGAGGAGGCGGCGGCGGCGGTGGACCCGATCGATCTTATCCGAGTATGCGTAGTAGCTATATGGATGCAAGATCTCGTCCGTATGATTCACCTTATGAACGTCAACGAATGCCACCACCACCACCGATGAGTTATACTGATCCGTACAGTATGCGAGGTGGTCCTATCGATATGTATGGTCGCGATGATTTTTATCAACAACGAGGACCACCAATGCCAATGGCTGATCATTATGGACGCGGACCACCAATGCGGTATGTCGATATTCGTGCATAGTAAAAGAGAAATACGGTGTTGAAAAAATGTCGATTTTTTTCTTTTTTACTTCTCTTTCTCTCTTTCGTTCAACTAAACGTCCATATTGGTGGAAATCAATTTCAGGTCAAATTACGATCCGTATTCAGCATATCCAACCGGACCAAGTTCATTGGGACCAATGAGAAGGTAAGCAAGAGATATCCTGCAACAGAAAATACGTACGTACGTCCGTTCGTTCGTCTGTCTGCTTATTTTAAAATAATTTATTACAAAAAGTTGGTCGTGATATTTGAATTTAATGACTAGGATATTGATTTATACACGAGATAGTTAGAATAATTTAATAGGAAAAAAAAAGAAAGCAAACAAATATATATCGTTTTTCGTATTCATCTACTCTTGTAATAGTCGATATGCTGCATCACCACCATCGTCACGTAATGGATTAGGACGTTATGGTTCACCACCACGATCATCATCTTCACGTCGCCCATCTAGACGATCACCGCCGCCGCCATCATCATCCAATTCATCACGATCACGTCGTTAATATATATTTGGAAATATTTGATTCGAATACTTCTTGAACAAATATGCGAATATATTGATTTGTTTCTTCAAATAGTCAGACAAAGTTTTCTATTGTCCTATGTTTCGAAATAATGAGCCTAATAAATCATCTTGTTTTTTTTTTGTTTCTTGTGTGTGTGTTTATTTGTGTACAAGTAATAAATCAGAAACAAATCTGTATTACATTTAATAAACTAAACATTTTTAATTTCTAATACAATGATATATTAAAAAGAAAGCATTTACTCATATACGAATGTGAATTTTTGTTCCAAATCACTTAAGAGTCAATTGCGACTGATTATTAATTAATCATACATTGCTCTACATTCTTAATCTCTTCAATGGCATGATATTATTTCATTCTGAGCAAATGACATCAAATTCTCTAATAAAAACAATCGATCATGGCACTTTCGCCTATGACAAATAGACGTACGATTCTCCTAATCGATTAATATATGACAATAAAATATTAACTACTCGCATTCTTGTCATATACAAGTGAAAACATACACTAATAAATATCGTTTAACTCTTCTATACGGAGTAATTATTAATTCACATAATATCTTTTTCTTGTAATAGTGTTCATGTTTGCTTTTCTTCAATTTTGTTTCTGAGCGATACTATTCCTTCTTTCCATCATATGGTATTTGTAAGTTGATAGTGGCATTTTTCTGTCGTTCGTTCGCACACTTATTCACTCATTTGCATGCACACATTCAGCATTTGCATTGAATCAGCGATTTTCCGTTTCCTGTTATCGAAAGTGCGACATATAAAAAAAAAAGAAACTAGAAAGAAAAAGAAGAAAACCAGAAAAAGAAAGAACATTTCTGTTGTAACTCTTCGTTTCGCCTGTCATTCGTTATACCGTTCTGGAAAATATTACATATATACTAAAGAAAAATCATCATGCAATATAATAATTTATCGATATTTACTACAATAATAATTCTTCTTATATCGAAAAGTATTCGAGGAGTTGATTGGATAAATTATGATTTATCATCTTCGAATTTGGATACAATATATGATGATGATAATGATGATTCTAATCAATATATAAGTGCATTAACACGTGATGATGAACAAGAAATCCATAGTCCAGTTATAACCGGTTATAAATATGTGTCAGGTAGAATTTCATTTCATTTCTCATGTATAGTTTTATTTTATTTTATTTTTTAATTTAGGTGGAGCAGGTGAAGGTCAACAACATTTAAGTCCAAGTGGTGAAATTTCGAATCGCCCTGAAGTTAAAACAGATGAAGAATTAAAATCCTATTGTCATCCACCGAATCCTTGTCCCATAGGCTTTGAAAGTAAAATTATTATAGATAAAAGTTCGTTTTTTTTCACTAATTTATATTTCTAGGTGATGATTGTGATTCATCACCAATGATATTATTTACTGCTGATTACAGTCGATTATATCAATCAGAACAAAAGTGTCAATGTGACACAGATCATGATAAATGTTCAACGAAGAATATTTTTAATGTTGATAAATCAAATGATAGTTTAAAACGATCACGACGTGTTGGACGAGTGTATTAATTGTTTTAATAACGAAAAAAGAAATATCTCATATCATTATCTTTTTTTTCTCAAAAGGATGTTCATTCGACTGAACAAACAAAAAATACATCCAAAGATCGTAATTTATTTCATAAAGGGCAAACATTACGTTTCCATGTTGCTAAAAAATCGCCAAACAGTATAACGATTTAAATTAAATTAAAATAAAAGTAAAAAAATGAAAATGGACTTTGTTTTGTGTTTTGTACTAATAGACTATTTCACATGCTAGCATGAAAGACAGTGTGAGAGAAAAAGAAAACTATTAAGAAATAATAAGTATGATGTCATCAAGAGAAAAAAAGAAATGATTTCCTATACGAGAAGCCACTTTAACATCATCAAAATATTTCCGACAATTTTTCTCATAAAATACTGATAATTCTCTTTAGAAATAAATAAATTCGAGTTTTCACATATAATACTAATACGAATATAAACTCAACCTATAATAAATAAATAGAACATTCATCATTCTATATTGTTAGCATGTTTACAAGTTTAATTATTATTCTATTCTAGAATTACCAGATTGAGAACTAATATTATATATTGTGATTTTGAATTTGAAAAAGTATTGGTTATAATTTAATATAGATTTGAACTTGTTAACCTTTAAATATATTAATAAGTGTCAAATGTGTCTGTCTTATATGAAATAATAATAAACAATGACAGGAATAAAAATTGTATTTAAATAATATTCAATATCCCCGATAGAATAAAATATCAATGTTTTAGTTTTATTCAAGTGCTGAAGCTAATACAGCTACACCACGTTCATAGAAATGAAATTCTGATGTATTTGCTTGACCAGCTTTAACATTCATCGTACATAATAATTCTGTACGTAGACCATTACCATAAACTGGAAGAGTTACATCTTGTTGATTGTTCTTTTTTTGTAATGATGGTGGATCAGTAGGCATCTTCCATTCAATTGCTAAAAGTGGAATATCATCGATAATTGCACTGGAATAAAATAATGCATTATTACGACATGAAGCACCTTGTAATTTTAAACCTAAATTTGATAATGATATTAAAAAAATTTCTTCTCTTTTTAAATCAAAATAAGACTGACCGGTTATGAGAAAGATATTTTGTTTATTTGAATCTATTTGAGAAGGTTGATCAAGCATTTGTACATGCATAATAAGTTCTTCTAATGAAACTTGTAATGATTGAGCTGCACATTGACGTGTTGCTGTGAGATAAGCTTCAGGTGTAAATAACCCGCCAAGCCACATTTGAACACTCTAAACAAAATTTTTAAATATCTTTCTATCATTTTCTCATCGAACATACTCGTAAAGATTGAACACCTTCATTTGTTGTTAATGTTGCTAATTTATCAAGTTGTTTTAAACGAGCAACAAAATCCGACATCCATTGCATTGCACTAATACGTGGTGGTACACGATATTTTTTCCATGTTGGTGGTGTAATACCTAAATAAAAAAAAATAATTTCGAATTAAATTAATTAATTTTGGTAATACCTTTAGATAAATTATTGAGTAAATCACGTGTATCATTCGTTTGTTTTTTACTTCCATCACATACGGCTTGTATATCAGTAAGGTCTTGACGTACGGAACGTAAAAGATTACTAGCAAAATTAGCTTCACGTTCAACACATCGAAATAATGGATCTTTAATATTTTCTGTTGTACGTTTGATCGTAGGTAATGTCTAAAAAAAACAATAAGGGGAAACAATTTTATTTTTCTAATTAAATTACTTTAGGTAATAATTTAAGCCAATTAGCTGTAGTATGTTGTACATGTACCATCCATGCTGGTTTTCCAGCAGTATCACCTTCATCTTTATTCTCACCAGCATTAAGATCTAGAATAAATATGATAGAGAAGTTTGCTTTTTTAATTATTTCTTTTTACCAAGTGCAAGTGTGCTTTCATCACTTTGATCACATTTTAAAAGATCAACTGCAAATTTACTACCTAAAATAAGATGAAATATTGAAAACAAAAGATTATCGAATGATTTATAAATTACCTTCACTAATTAATAATACTTTTTCCGCATTATCTGGTAAACCAAGCCATGTGGGTTTTTCATTTGCTGAAAGTTGTTTTACCCATTCGACATATTTCATTTTTGTTGTATCTTGTGGCATAGGTATTGATAACGATGATGTATCATCTTGAATTAATGGATATGAACTATTAAGACTTTCTTGACAAAATAATTTAGCAACAAAAGAAGCTAAAAGACGTTGATCAAATCTATATTAAATAATAAAAAATTATTCTTTAAATCATCTTCATCATACCGATTATCAAGTCGTCCACCATAGATACATGAAGCAATTAAATATCGAAGAGCATCCCAAGCAACATCCTATGATGACAAAAAACAAATTTAATAGAATTCAAAATAAATAACTCACATCTTTTCCTTCATTACGAATCCATTGATCAATAGTATCACATGCAAAACGAAGATCACTTTCATTAATTTCATAATGTTTAGACCATCCCAATGGTGTATAACGTAAACGTTCTACCACAAGAGCATGGAGCCAAGCAAGTCGAAAATAAGCTTTAGCTCGTATATTTGGTATTTTTTCCATACGACTTTCAGAGAATTCATTTAATGTTCGCATAAGACTTGGACGAATACCCGTAGCTGGTTCAAATACTAAACATAAACCCATACGTAATAAACTTGTCGGAAGCTATAACAAAAAAAAGAAATTTGTTTATTTTTCAATTGTAATAAAGAAAATTCATAATACTTTTGGATGAATTTCTGTTGATAAAAATAATCGGAATGATTCATGAGGTTTCAATGAATGTAATTTCTTTTCTAATTCTTTAAGCCATTGAGGTGCTAAATGAACGTTTTTTAATAATACCCAATTTCCTTGTTTAGCAGCTGTATTAATTGCTTGTTCAGCAAGTGAAAAACCTTCAGCCGAACCTTTAAAAATAAATTGAAAAATTTAGAAAACAAAATAAGTCAAATCATTTTCTCATACCAATAGCAATGCTAGTTAAATTTTTATTAAGATTTGTTGCTAATTCTTCTACACGATTTGATGCATCATGACCCGGAACAGAACAAAGTAGAATAGGTGTTAAACCTTGAATCTATTCAACAAAAAAAGATTATTTTCAATCGATAAAATATATTTTACTTCTTCATTGATAATTTGTTCTAAATTTAGAAGTGCATCTGCTTTCTGAACAAATTCCGATCCAAAAACACTTTCAACAAAAGATTTTGCTGCAATAATTAAACGATCAGGTCGTACAGCTCGAGTTAATAACATCCTAAAAAATAATTTAATCATTAAAATTTCATGAAAGACCCTCTTTTCTTCCATCATGTCCGAAACGGTAAATTTTCCATCTATGCTTACGTTATAAAGATATATAATCGAAAGCAGTCTGGACTATCTGATGGTAAAAGAGTGTTTTCAAACTGCACACCAAATACTACAGTAATGCACTCACCCGACTCTGTGAAGTTCTCTAAAAATGCTATATTTACAACCTTAACAAGAACATAACGCAATCTACGTTCACTAAGCTGAAGACTAAACATTAAAATGGGTCAGGAATATAAGGCAAATGTGCATCTTCAAGCTCTTTCTGCATAAAAACTATTCACTTCGGCTAGCAACCATTTTTTCTTTTGGCTATTATTTAAATGACCAGTTTTTAATATATAAGTATCAGTAAAAAATTTAAATTACATTAGTAAAACATTCAGATTTTCTCATTCGAAAAAATAAATTTACTGGTATGAAGATTAATTTATTATGAGAAAAATAAATAAGAAATCCACAAGATTATTAAGCAGGAATTCGAAATATGAAAATTTAACTATTGTACTTATAAGATAGGCCTAACCGTTGTTCATCCACCTCTTTGTTTTCTCTTTTACCAATTAGTATTGTTTTGCTGCGTGTGATTCAGAATATTTTTAACAAATACATGCACGACAATGTATCTCTATATGGTGTTTGTCAAGCATGATTTAGAGCGCAAACTACACTTTTTGTTGATCTAACTGTTTGGTACCATAAAGTTCATAATTCTAAAGATATTATTGATTCTGCAACAAATATTTTGCATTAAATGTGGACGGGTGTGAGAGTGATGCTATAGCACATTTCGATCTCTGTATAACTACATTTTAATTCAACTGACCATTTCGTTTATTTTACTGACTAGAATATATATTCCCAATCTTAAAAAGTTCAGAAATCTCACAAAAATTCAAAAATCTAAATCGTTTTCTCTCGTAAGAAACGATATTTATAATGAATTTGATTGAACATTGAGTTTTTTGATGGAGCATTAAAAAATCTTATGTTTTTTCTCTTTGGGATGGGAGGAGCAGGTGGCCACGAAACTTGAAAGTATAACTTAGACATATTTTTATATGTGAGTTATACAAAACGCGAAGACGGAAAAAAAGAAAAAAATATCATTCGTTAAAAGCCAAACGAAGCGAGTATGAGTCCATAGAAGGAAAGATGATTAAAATAATGTAGTTAAGTGTATGTTATGAGTAATGTCTTCTTTTATAAAAACAATTTTTATACGATAAGCAGTAGTTTAGCTGAAATTTTTATAGTTAGAATATATTTTACTATGCATCGTTTTTTGAGAGAATCTATAAATTATAAAACAGGGAAACATATTAACGATCGAGAAATTGTATGTGCAAGTGAAAAACTAGTCTGAATTTTCTATTTCAATATACTTCATTAGAGAAGATGATGAAGCTATAATAATATACAAGAGACAAATATTTATTTACAGCGGTTTTTATTTGGAAAATATCATAAATAAGACAATATTCGACGTCATCGACAAAATCAATGAAAAACATTAGAATATGTGTTTATTCCTGTTGTTGTCAATGCCTACGTTGACTATATATGAAACAAGCAGAAGCAATTTTTTTTCATCGGACAAATGTGTTTATTGAGCGTATAGAAGACGTCATTGGTTGATATCAGGACATTTTTTCTGTCTTTCCTGATATTTGATAAATACTTTACAAGGACAATTTAATTAAAAATAGAATAATTTTAAGGAGAGTATGTTCATTTTTCTTTTGTTAATACCTTGATGGTGACTATTTCAATACTCTAAATAGTTAAAGAAACAACAATAACATAGTGTAGTTATGGATGTATCATTTTTGTTGGAAAAAAAACTTGTTGCAAAAGGTACGGCGCTTTTTTCCGGGAATGAATAGCTATTAAATTAGAGAGAAAGAGTGTTGTAGAAAACAGAAGAAAAAAACTAGTGATATAAGTTAGTCAAACATTTATAAAATATTTTAGAAACTAAAGAAGTACAACATGTTTTGGGTAATATTTATTTTATCATTATTTTCTGTTTGTAATTCTATTCTTATTACTAAAATACAAAATATTATAATAGTTGGTAATATGTATAATAATTTACTCAATGTAACAGAAGATCAATGCGTATGTGAAATGATAAAAGTAAATGATTCAATATCTGCTTTGAATTATTTTTCAACAAATCAAACTTGTCAATTATATCGTTCAAATATTAGTACAATTTTTGTTGAATTTTATTTAAATTCTATTATTATATTTCTTAATCAATCGTCAATAACAATACTAAATATTCTAGAATATCGTAAGTTTTCATTTTGCAATACTACAAAAATATCATAACTATTTATAAACCCAAATTTCAATAATTTGAAATGAATTTGACGTTTGTGTTTTTTAAATTCTAAAACATTCGCTAATATAACAATGATAGTATCCACTGACTGTAATTTGTGAGGTTCGCTAACCATGAGTATCTATCCTCAGAATGGGATTATCCACAAAAAATCACTCCGATCAGTGAACCGAGAAGTGCTAGATTGTTAACAAAACCTTATTTAATGTTCTTATTGCACTACGTTAATCTCATTTTTTCGAAACAGAGCCGAGTACATCATCAGCAACACCAACAGCAATAATATTAGCATCACCATCATCAACATCACCATCAGCAATATCAACATCGACAACAACATCATCAACAACATCAAAAACAACTTCAACAACAACATCATGGTCAACATCAACTTCAACATCATCATCAACGTCAACTTCAACATCAACAACAACGTCACCAACAATAAGTGGTAAGTGTGGGGCTAAGCATTTAATGCTTACGTTAGATGTTGAAAAGAGAAATAGTTTCACGAGATTTTATAATGTAGTGTTTGATACTTCGAATTATCTCAAGCTAGAATAAATAAGACGAGTTTGATGCACAGAAAACTTCTCAAGATGAAAAAATGATCTTTCTACACAGGCAAACTAGTATCTGCATATCAAGCTGAAGACAAGATGAATTAATATTTGACCAATCGAGTTTTTTCAAATATTTGATAGTTCACTATGTTGTTGTCTTTTTTCAATACATAAGAATGTTTATCCTAACGTGCGAAGTATGTTTTGAGAATGATTGTAATTGTATATAGAGCAACTGAAGCTCCTAGTTAACGTTTTATAACTTATCGTGATTTTTTAGACTTGACTGTCTTATCCTTCTCTGTACATCGACTAAACTAAGAAGTCAGCTTGTAAACTGATAAGTAAAACTTTGTTAGGCAATGAAAGACTGTATTATGTTTGTATTATTGCTCTGCACTGGTTGCAGGTGTGGATATCTGAGTAACGTTAATGTAATACCCCACACCCACCAAATTCTACACAATTCAACCATGACTTTTTATCACTAAAACGTTCAAAATACTAAAAATAATTTCTGTTTTTAATAGCCTGCAACTCTTTTCTTAATCAAGCTACTTATCCAGTTGCCTTTAATCCATACTCGGTGGCTGTCGCCGATGTGAATAGCGACAACAAACCTGACATTATTGTTGCTAACTCTGGTTCAAATACCGTTGGTGTTCTTCTCAATGCGGGCACTGGTACCTTT